CAGTGCCACGTCAGCAGTGCCACGTCACAGTGCCAGATCAGCAGTGCCACATCAGCAGTGCCAGGTCACAGTGCCACGTCAGACTCAGTGCCACGTCAGCAGTGACGTCAGACACAGTGCCACGTCAGCAGTGCCACTTCAGCAGTGACGTCAGACACAATGCCACTTCAGCAGTGCCACGCCAGACAGTGCCACGAAAGCAGTGCCACATCAGACAAAGTGCCACGTCAGCAGTGCCACATCAGCAACACGACAGGCCTGCCAGGCCAACTGGCCAATGAGCCCATTGCCGACTACAAAAAGCGCGTCCATGCTCAGCTCGCTGCAATCGAGGCTGAGGAACAACGCCAGCTGGCAGTCAAGGCTGCCCAGCTACAGGCTGATGAAGCGGCAACAGCAGAGAAGCTGCGGCTACAGGCCGAAGCAGACGCAGATCCGCAAGGAAGCCCAGGCTCTGCTGCAGCGGCATGAAGCCAACAACATCGAGAAACTCAAGTACTGGCACTTTGAACCGAACGGCGACGAGCCAACACCGGAAGAGCATCATAAGGAGTTCATGGCCAAGCTCGTGAGCAGGTTGGTTTACACATGTAACCACCTACAGTCCGAGCTGGAAAACCTTCAGCGGGCCGTGCGGAACCATAAGATTCAGCACGAGGATGCCACACGGGCACTGGACGCCCGTGTACTGGGCCTGGAACAGGCTGTACCAGGACCAGATGTTGGGGCTTCCAGAGTGCATCCTCTAGGCGCCAACTGGAGGAACGCGTTGACCACGTAGTGGCAATGCTAGGAGACATAAGTGCCTTCACAGAGCCGGCCACCATCAGCCAGCGGTTCGAGTTGCTGGACACTAGGATCAGTCAGCAACAGCAGACAGACCACAGCCACAACAACAGCTCGGCGAGGCCATACAAGATGTCGACGTTCCGGATCGAGAAATTTGATGACTACACACATCAAGACCCGGTCGTCTGGTGGCAAGGATTTACAAAGGAATTGGGGATTCACGAAGTCCCTGACCATTTGTTCATCAGTGCTCTGTTCATCAACACCAAGGGAGGTTGTCAGATCTAGCTCAGCCACATGGCAACCATCCACGGCGTCCAGGTTTCAGACCTGTACAAGGTCTCCTGGGAGGACATAACAAAGGAATGGAAGAAGCGGTTCATCGTCGACGACGCCCCGGCACTCGCCGTCAACCGCATCTTCACGATGGCTCGTTGATGGACGCCGGAGTAGAGGTTGTCGACCTTCACGTCTACATTGCGAAGATCGACCGCGAGTTCAAGACGCAACGGTATGACGACATCGACGCACCATTGCTATATGTACGCATTCAGATCGGGGAAGCGACCTGCAGCGCTTTGATCGATTGCGGAGCATCTCGCAACTACATCAGCCAGGACTTCATGGTGCGCGCTGGTGTTGGCCCACGCGTCCGGAGGAAGCCCCAGCCTACGCAAGTCACATTGGCGGACGGTCACACGCACAAGTCAATCGACCGGTGCATTGACAGCGTCCCAGWGTACTTTRCCCCTCATGCAAGTGAGGMGGTGTCCTTTGACATTCTGGACACCAAATTCGACATGATCTTGGGCATGTCRTGGCTGCGAAGCAAGGATCACCCGGKGAACTTCTTCAACCGCACCGTTCACGTTCGTGACYGGAACGGAGTATTAGTTCCATGCACGGTGCCTCTTCCTCATCCTTCGATCAGCTGCCACGTGGTATCCGTTGCAAACATGCGAGCTTCCATCATCAGAGACGACATCGAGGAGATGGGGGTGTGTTTTCTCCACGCCCTCCCGCCCCATGACGCTTCATCGAAGGACTCCCCTTCGGATCCACGCATCACTGAGCTTCTTGACGCCTACAACGACGCCACGAGATCATCCTCGAGGACGGGGCCGTACCTCCGCGCGGTTGCATCTACCGAATGAGCGAGGAAGAGTTAWGTGTGCTTCGGGCACAACTCGACGACCTTCCAGAGAAAGGCTGGATTCGGCCAAGCTCATCGCCATACGGTGCTCCTGTTCTCTTCGTCCGGAAGAAGAACAAGGACCTGCGGTTGTGCATCGATTATCACAAGCTCAACGAGCAGAAGATCAGGAACGCCGGCCCTCTCCCACGCATCAATGACCTTCTCGAGCGATTGGGCGGCGCCTAGTTCTTCTCTAAGCTGGATCTCAAGTCAGGGTACCACCAACTCGAGATTCGCAAGGGGATCGCTACAAGACCGCGTTCAAGACACGGTATGGGCATTTCGAATGGCTGGTCATGTCGTTTGGCCTTACGAATGCCCCAGCCACTTTCCAAGCGGCTATGACAACAGAGTTCCGACACATGCTGGATCGGTTTGTACTCATCTACCTCGACGACATCTTGGTGTATAGTCGGAGTTTGGACGAGCATGTGGAACACCTGCGCACCGTCTTGGAGCGGCTACAACAAGCCAAGTACAAAGCAAACCGCGACAAGTGCGAGTTCGCACAGCAGGAGCTGGAGTACTTGGGACACTATGTGACGCCGCAAGGCATCCGTCCGCTTGCGGACAAGATCGAGGCCCTACGAGTATGGCCCGAGCCCACCAACACCACGGACGTTCGTTCATTCATGGGGTTGGCGGGCTACTATCAGCGATTCATCACCGGATACTCCAGGATTGTTGCACCTATGACGAGGTTACAGTCGCCAAAGATGCCATTCGTATTCGATGACGACACACGCCGGTCATTCCAAGGACTTAAGACGGCTATGCTCATGGCACCCGTCCTTAGCATCTATGACCCCACCTTGCCTACGAGAGTGACTACGGACGCTTCCGGCTACGGCATTGGGGCAGTCTTGGAACAGCACGACGGCGACGACTGACACCCTGTGGAGTATTTCAGCCACAAAGTGTCTCCCATCAACTCGCTTGATGATGCAAGGAAGAAGGAGCTACTCGCGTTCGTCATGGTTCTCAAGCGATGGCGGCGCTTCCTCCTTGGGCGTCGTAGGTTCACCTGGGTTACGGACAACAATCCATTGACCTACTACAAGACGCAGGAAGCACGATCGGACGGTGGATGTACTTCATCGACCAATTTGACTTCACACCGAAACATGTCCCCGGCCTCTCCAATCGCGCAGCAGATGCACTCTCGCGAAGTCTTGATCTTTGCGCTATGACACATCATGCCTTCACATTCGACGAGGAGCTTCAGCGATACTTCATCCGGGCATATCAGTCTGATCCGGACTTCGGCACGCTCTATGCACAACTATCTTCGGATCACCCGCCGGCCAGCCATTTCCGCATTGACGACGGGTACTTGCTCCTCCACTCGAGAGGCAAGGACTTACTATGTGTCCCACTCGGCCGTTGTCTTCGGACTCGCCGCCTCGGTGAGTATCATGATTCACGGCTCGCCGGCCATTTTGGAGTCAACCGCACTATTGCACGGCTTCGACAGCGATTCCGATGGCCTGACCTCATTACCGATGTCACTCGGTATTGCGACTCTTGCGAAGTTTGCCGACGCAGCAAGCCCCGCAACCGCAATCCCTACGGCGAGTTACACCCGATGCCTATCCCACGGGAACSCGGTCTCTCCATTGCCATGGACGTCACCGGTCCGTTTCCTCACGACCGGCTCGGGCACGACGGCATCCTCACGGTTGTGGACCGATTGAGTAAGTACGCGCGTTTTCTCCCTTGCAAGTACTACTCCACGGCTCCCGAGCTRGCRCGCCTCCTGCACACTGGTTGGATTTGTGGCCACGGTGTACCAGAAGACATTGTCAGYGACCRCGACACTCGTTTCATGTCGGCGTTTTGGACTGCTCTCATGCAGGAGTCYGGCACAACAATGAAACCAAGTTCGGCTCGGCATCCTCAGACAGACGGGCAGACGGAGCGGGCACATSAAACCGCTCAAATGATGCTTCGTAYGCTCATCCGCCCGGACCAGAAAGATTGGGTTGACCGCCTCCCCGACATCGAGTTCGCCTACAACACTTCGGTGCACCCGGCGATCGGCGTGACTCCATTCGAGTTGCACCACGGTGGACGGAAAGGCCGTATCTTCGCCGACCTTCTCCTCCCTCGACCAGCCGACATTGATGCTGCCTGCTCTCCCGCTTTCGTCCGGAAGTATAGGGAATTGCTGACTCAAGCCCGCCCAAATATGCAAAAGGCTCAAGTCTGCATGCAGCAGCAAGCCAACAGGCGCCGCGTACCATGTCCCATCCGCGCCGGTGATCTGGTTTGGGTCTCTGCGGAAGAGTTTGCACTGGAACAGGATGTTTCACGCAAACTGCTTCCCAAGTGGTTTGGACCTTGGTCTGTGACAGCAGCCGCGGGCGATGAGCCCGATGGCCCTTCATTTGTGATCAACTTTCCAGAGCATCTGACGGTCCATCCGGTCTTCCACGCCTCGAAGCTGGCAACATACACGCCAGCCAAGAGCGACGACTTTTCGGGTCGACGATCGCAGGACCCTCCTTCTATGGATGGTCATCAGGAAGTTGACCGCGTCATTTCCGATCGCAAGTACGGCAGCAAGCCGCGGCAGTACAAAGTCACATTCAAAGCATGCGATCGCGACGACACTCGGTGGATTTCAGGCGCAGATTTGAAAGCATCCGCACCGCTGATCTACSCGCATTATGAAAAGCGGAGGTTAGCGCAGGAAGCTTCACGACCAGCCCCTCCCACCCGGACTGTGGTCCCTCCCTCAGACAGACAGCTTCGCCCTCGCAGGTAAGCTCGGTTCTTCAAGGAGGGGGGGGTGTGGCATACTGCGTAGCCACACGGGCCCTGCAGGGC